GTAGGTACAGAGGGCCGAGCATGTATAGTTACAAAAGAGTATTCTCTTTCGCTGTGCTGGATCCACAGCATGCCGGGCTGACGAGGGTATTGAAAAAGGTCGCCCATCCTTTCCCCAGGGCCGAGCCCGCCCCTGTACATTTCTGGAAATGGTGCATGTGAACAGGCCAAACACTTCCACCTTTATGGAAACATTTGCAGATGCGGGTGTCTACTATGAACCTCTGGAGCTGAGCTCTCTCTCCCGGAGCCCGTCCTGACCTCTGCAAGTTTGAGATTAGTTCCTCTCAGTGCCCTGGGCTCGTCCTCTGCAGCTCTAGGGAGTAGTAGTAAAGAAGGCCTGGACTGACTGTGGACGCTCTTGCCTTAGCTTCCTTCCCTTCCCTTCATATTTCCAATGGTTGGGCAACTAATAGGTGTGCAATGCAAAACAAACACACTGAGCAACAGCCCTAATGTCTTTGCCATCTTCCTGCCTAGATTTTCAGCCCAGCCTTCATATATCGTAAATCTTTTTCTTCTGAGACTGCAACGACTGTGTGCTACTGGTGAGGCTTGCAACCTGCCTTCTGCATTTTTAACAAATGGAGCTAAAGCCTGTGGCCTGGAAAAGTTCTCTCTTCCCATACAGGGTGTGATAAATTCTCAAGAGTTGTTTTCTGAAGTGCTACAGCTAATGAAAAAGGAGTTGAGCTTTTTCTGAGATATGTCGCTCACTCTGCAAGCTCCCGGACCTGTCATTCAGTTTTCCAGTCGTGGCGAGGAAGGGAGACACAGAGGTCCTCAGAATGCCTGGCTGTCAGGTCTGTGGGCTCTCTGCCATGAAAGGAGAGGGCGTCTTCACAGGAGCTGGAGCAGGTAGTCACACCCTGGACATACACGGACACCTGGGATTCACAACTCTCGGGCCTCATTCTCATGCACTGTTGACTTTATTTCTATTCCTGCACATTAAGTCTTCTGGGTAGTGTGTTTTTGCAAACAGGCCCAGTTTCCTGTGTTTCCTAGTGTAGTTTTTGTGTATGAAAGGTAATCATTCCACATGGCATTGACGCACAGGACACAGTTGCATACCGTGCTGGCCTCTCTGATGTGGACTGTCACTGAACAGAAGAGTCCTGCTGCCGAGAGTCATGATAGGGAAATTATTCTGTGAATAATACATTGGAAAAAACACACAAGAGTCCCTCAGCAGAGAGTCCTCCTGGATTCTGACCAGTCCCGTTCTACAGCACCCGTGGGACCCTTGAGTTGGTGGATCTGTGCCTGGGTTTCTCTCACTGACTTCCTCATGGGGTGGGGTTTATCTTGGACTCTGTGCTTGCTCGTTCCACTGTCTTTACTCCTGTTGCTTCTCGTCCTCGTTTTAATGTGCCTCCATCTTGTGATCCACCAGTCACGCTGATGGCCGCCTTTCTTCTTCCACCTTTACTTTAGTCCACTTGTCCAAAAGCTTTAAAAACCAATGTCCAGAGCTGGAGCATCCACACTGGCGCTGGACGAAAGCCCAATGCTGGAAGTCTCAAGGCATGCACTTACTTGTCCTCAGTGGCAAATCCCATCTCATATTTTCAGCCATGCCCGTGGGCAGTGCTTGCAAGATGGGCTTTTTAGACTCGCTTGTCTATTTCCTTTAACTGGATATCCAAAAAATAAGTGGAAAAAGAGATGAGTGTGAAATTGCAATGCAACTACTCCTAGGTAGTGTGATCTGTTTCAGAATGCATGTGAAGAGTTTTGTTTTGTTTTTTCCTTCCCATTTTGAAGAATAGAGGTGAGATTGTGGGGCTAGAGTCTGCTTCTTGGAGAGAGGACAGGAGGTGTTTGGGAAGGGGTTTCTTCCATGAACAGCAAAACCCTTGGGCACAGCTTCCTCTCTTTTAGCTCTCTGGTGGTAAAGGCATGACAGCATTCCCTCATTTTATACTATTATTTTCAAAGAAGGTCAATCATCTATGGCGGTGCACAGCTGTAATTCCAGCACTCTAAGAGGATGAGGCAGAAGGATGTCGAGTTTGAACCTAGCCTATTCAAATTAGCCACCTACGGAGACCCTATCTCGAGATACAAAATTTTTAAAACATCTGGGAATATAGCTCAGCGCAAAGGATTTAAGTTCAATCCCCAGTACTACAAAGAAAAAATTTTAAACATCTGTCTGTAAGAGCTTGAATAATAAAACACAAACCTGGTAGTACTGATTAACACAAACAACTGTAGTACTGATTAGCTATGACTTGCTTATTTAATCTGCCCGTGTCCACAGAAGAAGAAATGCTAGACTTAGTTCTCACTCAGAGTTTGGTGTTTTGTGCCTTCATCATGTTTCAAAGAACTAGGAGTTAGTAAATGCAAAGACAAACATAAGAAAGGGAGTAGGAATGAGATATTGACCCAAGACAACTGTATGGGTGAAAATATCATTTTAATAATTAGGAAACTGGATGTGCACTTAGGAAAGCATACATCCTTTATTTTTTCAAGGCAAAGTTAGAAGTGTGATGCCTAATCTGAAATTTGAACTGTTTTCAGTTATCATGAGGAGTTACATGACCCAATATGCGTGAAAGAAAATTACATAGTTAACTACGTGATTTCTTTAATCAGTGGAAAAGATGTTGAATGTAAGACATGATCCTTTCACAGCGACTAAAGATGCAAGAGTTGGATGGAGTCGTACCTACTCAGTGAAACAATTTTGGCCTGAATCATGATGTACTAATAAACTCCTGCAGTTCACTAGATGCCAGGCAGGGCCACGGGAGCTGAAAAAGCTGATACAATATTTCATCTTATCATAGAGATGTACTCAACTTTTACCACCTCCTTATACCATCGCTGTACTGGTGGTGGTACTAGGAATGCAGTCATATAAAGGAAATGCCTCAGTGCATGGTCCAGTGTGACACATAGCACATAAATATCTCTTGTGTAGTGGAACAAATGCTCTATTAGAAATTGCACCCACTGATCCACCCACCCATCCATCCATCCACCCATTCATCCATCCATTTATCCACGCATCCACCCACTCACTTATACAACCCTCTATCTCATCACTTGGCAGTGTTGTTGAGCACTTTCTACAAGCCAAGCCTGGAAGAGGCCCTGGGTATTCAATTGATAATAAAACCCCCGTGGTCCTTAGCCCTCATAGGTCTTCCTGGGCAGAGGGAAAATGTTTCTCAGAGCTGAAGGAGATGATTTAGGAAAGGATGGATATATGCTGAGGAGAGGAAGAATTAAGCATTTGGCAGAATGAATATCTGTCCCCAACATAGACCAGTAAATGTGCAGGCCACGTTAGGGAGTTATTCTTGTATTGAGTTGCAGTGTGGATGTGTGTACGAATGTTGCCATTGGGATCAAAGGTTTGTCAGAACTTTGCATTATGGTTTAGAATTAATATGTCACGTCAACCCAAAGTCTGTAATGTTTGTAGGTGGGGCTTCTGGAGGGTCATTGGATCATGGTGTGCTCCATTCATTGGTGGATGCATCCATGGATGAGGTCATAGCTGACTGCTGTTAGGGGCTGGGGCCTGGGTGGAAGAGGTGGGTCCCTGGGGATGTGACCTGGAAGAGTTTATTCTCATCCTTGCCCCTATGTTCTCTGTCTGCTTCTTGGCTGCCACAGAGTGAGCAGTTTTCCTTTGCCATTTCCCTTCCACCATGATGTTGGTCCTGGGAGCTGGAAGACCACAGAATAAATCTCCCAAAACTTTGAGTCAGATTAGACCTCTCCTCTCATAACTTGGGGATTTCTGGTGTCATGTCTCAGCAAGTAGAAAGTTCACTAATTCACTGTGCATGCAGAGATGGGGGAACTGAAGAATGGTGTTTGAGGAATTCACTCAGGTTCACAGCAAAAGTCTATCAGAGCTAGAATGAGGGTGAGAGCAAGGTGGATGGACCATAAGGAGTGAGTTGGCATTCAGTCTCTTGTATACATCTCCAAGAGCTGTGTCCATTTGCTCTGGGAAGTGGATGAGCATCCTGTGCCCCAGTTGCCTTCCAAGTGGCCTCTTGGTCATTATTTCCTTTGAGCAAGAGTGGAATTGTGGATCCAATTCCAGACCAAAGTAAAGACTGAGCCTGGGATAGTAAGTGTATCTCTCCAAAGTCAACTCAAGGTCAAAAGGAGAGAGTCACCTTCCAGAAGAAACTGTGCGATTCACTGATCCTCTTTCTTGTAAACCTTCTGACCTTCACAAAATTGCCTTGCTCGAGGCTGTGGGGGCAAGGGCTACACGGGACGGGAGCGTGGAAATCCCTGGTGTGTGAGTGGCCCTGGGTGAAGTTGGTTTCGGGAAAGAAGAAGTCAAGTTATCATTGTTTGCGGATGGCAAGATCCTCTGCAGAAAGACACCCTCAAATTCTACTGGAAGACTTAAAGAATTAATAACCAAAGTCAGCGATGGAGAGGAAGTACAACTAACACAGAAATCCGTAGCGTTCCTGTACTCCCGTAACTGACAGATACGGTTGGCAACATCATTCATCTGTCTCATTTCACCTGGAAATTGGGGCTGATTTGAGCAGAATTCCTGTTTGACTCCATTTCATTTCCAAAATCCCAGCGTTGGTAGTTGAGGGTTCCTTCTGGGAGGTGCATTGTGTAGCAGAAGAGAAGCAAGTGAGTAGTGCTTCCAGGGTGCTTGAATTCATATTAGTCGCCGCTAGAGATGGAGGACTAGTATAAACTGGGAAAATGTGGTCCGTTTTTCCTTTGCAGTTCTTCCCGAGTTGCACTACGATAGGAGGAAGGGTGTGTGACAGAATGTGAACGTTGTGACAGGATGTGAACGTTTGCTGATTCACTGGGGGTGACAGTAAGCCTCTCCCTGTAGATTGACCCTTCTCCAAAGCAAGGTCTCATGCCAGCCAGTCCAGCCATGGTGTTTTGTGTTTTCAAATGACATCACGGAATCAAACGACATCAGAATGGCCGGAAGAAGCTTTTCACTGCTGTTGACCCTTTCTTCTGCTTTGTTTTCTGCAGGAATGCTGAGAAACCGTTCCTCCTTTTCCTGTCCTATCTCCACGTGCACACGGCTCTCTTCTCTTCCAAAGATTTTGCAAACAAAAGTCGCCACGGCGCTTACGGGGACACGGTGGAGGAGATGGACTGGAGCGTGGGTATGTGTGACTCTCGCATTTCCTTACAGAGCAGCCGCCTTCCGGCTCCTGGTTTATGAATTTTGTTTCCCCCTAGGTTCCTGATGGCTTCCTAGACAGCAAATGTGTTTGCTTTTCTTTTCAGAAAGGGTAAGCAGAGAAACATTCATTAAGGACGGTAAACCAAATGCAGGAAGCACCTTGCGCCCTGCGTGCCTGTCCGTAGTTGCCGTTGGCGACATCTTTGCGGGTCTGTGTGTGATCCGGGCCATGAATGAGGACAGGAGCGAGGCCAGAGCCCTTATCTGTCCTGCTTAAATCAGCAATTAGATCTGAACAGTACCTCTTCCTGGTGGACGTAGATGTGTAGGGGTCTTGGGGTCTGGACACCAGCGGCTGCCCTTACCCTTGGTGGGTGTCACATCCAACCAGTGCCAGGGCTGTGCTTTGTACGTCTTTATCTCTGCATCCCCGAGTCTTGTTTCTGGCTTCTCTGCCTCACTTTCCTGCTGCTCTGTCTGCAGATGGACCAACAGTCCCTCGTGCCCTGCGTCTTTCTTTCTCATCCTAAGCAACTTCTGAGAAACCCGGCACTTTTTTTATTTCACAAATACATGGAGGACTTCCTTATGGAGGCACTGTTTAAAACTTAGCTGGGCATGGTGGCACATATCTGTAATCCTAGCGCTCTAGGAGGCTGAGGCAGGAGGATCTCAAGTTTGAAGCTACCCTGGGCATTTTAGTAACTTTGCAAGACCCCTGTCTCAAAATAAAGAAATAAAATGAAATAAAACAAAAGCAGGCTGAGGGTGTAGCCTAGTACAAAGGCCCTGGGTTAAATCCCCTTTACTCCCCCTATGGTGCTTTCCATGTCTACCCAGGAGCATCACTAAGTTTCTCTGTAGTTGGACTGACCTGGAACTCACTATGTAGCCCAGGCTGGTCTCAAACTCAAAGTGACCCTCCTGCCTCAGCCTCCCGAGTGCTAGGATTACAGGAGGCGTGTGCAAGTTTCATTTCATTTTAAATCATGGCGCACTCACCATCTTGAGATTCACCATCTTATCTCTTCTCTCTGTCTCTGTCTCTCTCCCTCTCTCCCTCTCTCCCTCCCTCTCTTCCTCCCTCTCCCCCACCCCTCTCTCTGATCTGTTACATCTCTGGGCCTTTTGTCTTCATCTCAGTGTGAAGAGTTCCGAGGAGACAGCTTCTAACTTTCTTCTCCAACTGTGCACAAGGCCCTAGAATCACAAGAGTGAGCACCAAAGACAAGTTCTAAGCAGGAGAAAGGAAACCAGAACTTTCTCCGTGTCAGGCTCTGTAAGAAAACTGCCCAGTGCTTTGGGCTTTTCCATCCTCCGACACAGGCCGGCTCCCTCATTTTTTATTCCTTTTGAAATCTTGCATAGAAATCCATTTACATTTTCCACACCTCGGTAATGTAAATCAGAAGCATATTTCATAGTGTGAATCAGCAGAATATTTTATCTCTTTAATGAGTGTTAGATTTTAATGTGTCAGGTTTCTTAATAGGACTAGGAGGGCTGTTGGCTAATATGCACACTCTGCCAACATCGTGCTTATTAATTTTTATTTAATTATAATAGCACATATACCTACTCTTGTGCATTAAAAAGTTCATCTTGCAGTGTTATACTATCACTAGTTTTCCCTCTAGAATATCTGGGGAGTAATTTTCAATCTTTGAGATCTGTGTTGTACCCAGGTATTATATTGATATATATTTATGTGTGCCTTTCTTTTCCTTCCTTCCTTCCTTCCTTCCTTCCTTCCTTCCTTCCTTATTTCCTTCCTCCCTCCCTCCCTCCCTCCCTGCCTCTCTTTGTCTGTCCCTCCAGACTATAGCCTTCTGAATTATCAGGTCATAAAATAAAGGTGCAGGTAGGAGACGGCCCCATACAAAGAAACCTTTTCCATGGCAAAGAAAACTGAGCCAGAAGCACTAGGTACAGAGGGTCTGTCTCAGTTGTGCAGTGTTTTCTTTCAAAATGTTTTCCTTCATTTTTAAATGACTGCATATTCATTATACAGATGAGAAAGTTTCGTTTTGGTAGATTTCTACATACATGAAACACGCTTGGATGCTCGTCTACCACACCTTCGCCCCCCTTAGGGTCTTAACCTCTTGTCCTTCCCTATATCTAAAACCTTCGAGGGCCCTGCAGTGTGAAAACCTTGTCCCCTGTGGGTCCCCCGCACCCAGCGAGGTGTATTCCGGACGTGCTCCCGGTAGCTTATGGCTTTATTCTTGGATGTGTGCTTGTTGTGCTTCTGTGTTGCCTTGTGTCATTGTTCGGAAGTCGGACAAAGGCGGACCTCAGAGCCGGGGTAATGCGGCGGGGACCTGGCAGCCAGACCTGGCTCGCTGCGTGCAGACTGGAGGGGCTTAGGGTGTTGAGTCTGTAGTATTCACACGGAGGCTGCCTGTTGCAAGCTCTCCGTACACCTGGCCCCAGGTGCCACGTGAGTGTCCTGCTTTTGGGCTCCCAGGGGTCCACGCAGCAGCTGTACTCTCATCACGTCCACACCACAGGTGAGGCTTGCAGAGGGTTCAGACCACCTGCTCCCTGTGCCCCGCGGATCCGTAATGGGTCAGCAGCTGGTCAAGCAGGTGTGGCATCCACAGCCTGGAAGCCACGTCACCTTCGCCCGCCCCTTTTTGCATAGCAGAAGGGAGGCGGCACGGCTAACAACAGACTCCTGGGAAAGAGGATGTGAGTTCGGGACTCACGCCCTGCGGGCCCGCTCAGTGCCGCGTGCTTCGTGGGGATCCAGGATGGAGAGGGAGTGAGGATGAGACTCTTGGCTTCAAGGAAGGCAGCGGCTGCTAAGCAACGTAGTACTCTCCTGGGAGATGTGAGCGTATCTCAGGTCAGAGGGTGAGGGATGTCCTAGGGAGGGGCCGGGGCCAGGCAGGAGCAGCTTTGGAAGAGAGAGAGGGTGGGACAGCATGCCTCTCGGGCCTTAGGGCCACATCCGAATCCCAGTCCGCGTTCATTTGGAAGCAGCTGAGGGTTGGGAGGAAACGCGGTGTAAAATCGCATTGTTTGCTGTGGTGCCCTCGGCACTTTGGGGTGCACCATGCTGGCTGTGCGGCACAGGGCCTCACACTGGCTGCAGACACCCCGGGGTGCTCGGGGGCCTGGGCAGCAGGCGGAAGGAGGTACAGGGGACACGCGGTGCCTGCCAGCGCTTGCTTCTCGTCAGCCCGTAGTGTCCCAAGCCTGGTGTCTGAAGCGGAATTTGCATGCAATCAGCGTTCATTTCCAGCCTCCTGCTATTAATAGAACCTCGCGGAGGACTCATAAATCAGCCTTTGCGCAGGATTAGACCTGCAAGTGCTGAATTCTTAGGAAGAGAAATGCAAGCTGAGAATGAGAAGGTGAACGTAAAACAAAAATGTGCATCTACCCCTGCTGAGGGCTGGATCCAGTGGTATTTGTGAGATTCTTCTTTTCCCATCTGGACCAGGAGTCTTTCTCATGGGTGGAAAAGGAATAGAGAAGCAGCGGCCCGCCGCGGAGCATCCAGGAGTCTTAGTGCATTTGGTGTTGGGTGGCTCAGGGTCGGTCGTTCCCCTCCGTACGGAGGCAGGCTCCTCAGTTCCCCCCCTGATTCTGCGTGGCTGTCAGGGCGCCCACTCCTGAGATCCGGATGGTGCCAACTTCTCTGGGCATAGAGAATCGATGAAGGGATGACATACGGAGGGCCTTTGTGAGACAAGTGCTGGGAGATGGGGTGTAATCAAGTCCTCTTTGTGCGGCCGATGGAGAGTTAAAAGTGTGCATCTCTGAGGGATGGGGAAGAGTGTGAAGAGCCTCATTCACAAGAGTCCAGGGGAGCGACAAGACCGTTGAAACCTGAAAAAGCTCCGCAAGGTGTGATCGACAAATATGGATGGTGAATGTTTCCATTAAAAAAAATGCATGACAGTTAAAAGACACCTTGCAGTGAATTTCCCTCAAAATCCTCGCCCTCACGTCCAACACATTTGTGTCATCGTCCTTGCAACTTTCTGAAGCAGTTCTGGAGGTCTTCTTTCTTGGGTGTCTTCACGGGGCGTGCGATCAAAATGACGGTTGCACACCGCTGTCGAGAGCCCACCCGACAGAAAGGCGGGCTCATAAAAGCACGATGGTGCATCCTCATCCGCATCGTTCACTAGGTCTGTTACTTTTGGCTCGTCCCCCAAGTACATATGACCACGACACGGAAATACTTAGAATCCATTCAGGATATCCAGGCAGCCACAACAGTGCAACTAAAGATGCCCAGAAGGAGACTCCAGAGTTGCTTCAGAAAGTGGCAGGGACTGTAGGATGCGTGAGTTTAAAGCTAGGAAAGGTATTTTGACAGGGATTAATGGCAGTGTGTCTTTTACTGTAGCACATATTTTTAAAACGTAAATATTTCCCTTATATTTCAGTCATGCCCCCATGCAGGGTGATTCTGAACAGGGCTTAGCTTGTTGGACATGGCTCTGATGGACGATCCACTCCAAAATGGAACCTTTTTAGGATGTTCGCATGAAAGTAGTTGTGGCAACATAGAACTCTGCAGTGAACTGCATTCAATAACCTCTCAGTTTATAGGTACATTTTCTTGAGCAGAACTGCTTTGGGTTAGTTTACGGAAGAAACAAAACAAAACAGAAAACAGTCACTTTTGCAATACTAGAGCTCAGAGTATGTGCTCAATGAATGATTTTTTAAAGGTGAAGTCCCAGGGAACAATTATTTCGTATTTATACCAAATGAGTAGGAACATAGGCAGGAAGGAGGCCGGTGTCTGTCTTTCTCCCGTAGACAACAGACCAACCATGGTGGGACGTAAGATTACTCTGCAGAAATTGTCTCAGGAAGCTGTACAACTTGTGACCCACAATTTGTTGCCTTCTAAACCAGGATAAAAGCTTCCTCCTCGCAAGCAGGAAGACCTTAAAAATCACTGTACCATTTCACTTTGTCATCCATTTGTTCTAAGCAGAATGTAGCCTGCAC